GTCACATGCCGGAACGACGCAGCGATGGACGATAGAACTGCATGACGCAGCGTGGAACAGAGAACCCCCCCTGAGTAAAACATTCGATGCAAGACCGAAAAAGATCTGCTCCACACGATCTTGACTCTGTAACTCCACTATGTGGTAAAAAAACAATCCCACGATACAGAGACAGAAATCACGCTATGCACATATTGGAGCCTTATTTTAATCGACAACAAAACCCCACAATATGGACAATGGAATCCTAAGATGCAGGATATGGAATCCTCAGACAGGCAGAATATAACAACCTGGCACAGACAATGGCACCCCATGTGTAGACAAATGAATGCTAGGATACAAACAAGAGCATCAGATGAGCAAGACTGTTATAAGGGATGTATATCTGTGCATGCCCAAAGATTAGTATGACATCATCGAACCAACAGTATTCACCTCTCGATATGAACCAGGTTCTTGAAAGCCAGTGACCAGTGTTCGCTCCATGTTGAAGTGATTTAGAACGGTTTCCACTCGCCCGTCCTCTGCAAATCAGGCACATACAAGTTTTTTAATAAGAGAGAGCGCAAATATTGACTGGGAAAGTTAACATACACACAGGCGCACACTTACAAAAGGCAAAAACGCACGTGCACGTATGCACGCACACATTTTACTAGGTACTAGCATACCTATACACTGTGGACCTCATATACTGCAGCTCGATATGACGAAGAATCGCTTACAACATAGTCAGGCCGTTAACTACTTTTCCAAAGCAAGGACAAATTTTCCGAGGCAAATGACAAAAATCCAAGAAATCATTACGGAGTCATATAAAATTCCAAGACATTTAAATGCCTGTGCAGACCCTGTCTATCGCATCAAAATATATAAATCCTCGCAGTGAATCGCTATGGGTCCTTACTGACGTTACTACCACACGCATACTTACTGAAGTTACTACACCACACGCATACTTACCAGGGAAAAAATAAAAAATAAAATTTATTTTTCGGGGGCTACTTTTCAAGCTCGCGTGCATGAAAATAGCACTCTAAAATTTGGTTTACATTGAACTCTATGCAAATTTACGAGGGCTCTTTTTGGCATTTCCGGGGCTCTTTTTGGAATTTCGGGGGCTAAATCGCCCCGAGACCCCCTGTATTTTTTTAACTGATACTTACTGAAGTTACTACAGCACGCATACTTACTGAAGTAATTGCAGACGACGGGGAAAGGAGCCATGGGTCCACTGCCATCGAGGTCTATGCGCATCGGGACCTCCGTGCCAACCTGGTGAACGAGCTCCTGTGCAGCAGCATCACACGACAGCGGGTAGATGGCTGCAAGACAGGTGACAACATCTCGCTTACAACACCAGCAATACTACACTCCACCAAGTAACAGATGAAACACCATAATAACAAATAATAAATGTATAAACAAATACGCGCGAGGATAAACAAATAACAAATGCCACCCGTGAGATAATAGTGTCACTAATAATGATAGGAAATGATTGATCAACAAGTGTAACACTTCAAGGCAGACATGGTCAAAGGTTTCAGTGAGACAATATTACAGGAACAGACCTACAGGAAAGAAACGTAGAGTACGTTGTGCCAGCGCTATGGGGAAAGCCACATGGGAGCAACGTACAGGAACATGCACGTACAGCTTCAGAGATTAACTTACAGGTATGGCAGGTAGCTCCACTGTAGCCATTGCCACCACATATGCAGTAAAACTCGTACCAGTTCTGGTAGCAGGTACCTCCATGCTCGCAGGGATTCGGATTGCACCTTGATAACACAAAGTCGCCGTCAACATAACACCAACATCGCAGTACACTCAGTACTCCTATTCACAAAACATCTTTGCTTGCGAAAAAGGTAAGAGAAAGTGCACCCCATAGAACGCCCACAGCGTGATTCAGTGTACGGATATGCGACGTCATGTTAGCGTGTGTCCGGGATGAGGAAAGTGGCAACTTATGCCCCATACCTGTCGATAATTGCACAGCGGTCCAGTTCGACTCCGGCAGTGATCTGGTCCTCTTCCAGCTGTCCTAGATGAATGATACGACCCTCGACATAGATGTAGCGCATGCAGCCCAGGAAGCCACGATCGTTATCCCTCGTTTTGCCACCTACAAACCAGACGTATAAACGACACACGCACACACAGTATACGCCCACGCACACTGCGCATAGTCATACGCATGCAAATCACCGACAAACACGTACCCCGGTGCTCCGGGTTGAAATAACAAAGCCCTTCAGAATTCGGTTTAGAACTCCCCAGCAGCCGTTCTGCTCAACGATTCTGAACATCCCAAAACATGTCTCGAGTCGCGGATTAAAATTCAGACGCAAATTTCCGGATACGCGCACGACGCAAGCTATGAACATCCAGGGAGCCTCTTCGGTAGCGCACCTCCGAGATAGAACTCGCTGCCGGGCCGGATGTCGATGACTCGCAGCGTCGTGCTGGGCACGTCGTCTATGTTCATCGTGATGAGGTTTGTGCCGATGTAGATGTTCAACGGGTGCCAGAGGCCGTCGTGGAACGTGCGTCGGTACGGGTCGATGACTTCATTGTAGAGGTTCTCGCGCGTCAGCCGCAGACCGAGCTTCACTTTACCCTTCTCCAGGAACACCTGCGTTCAGCAGACGATTAATCAGAGTGCGCCCGCAGACACACTACAATCTAACACATCCTACTATGAAACTACAGTCCACCGATTTTCGCTTTCGAGTTTGCTGGCATCGAATTGCAGATGGTCAGCGTAAAATGACATCCTAGAATTGATGAGGTTCCCAATTTCATCCTGGTTATGGTAGCATAAATTATATAGGATGGCAATGGTGACACATGATTCTTGTAGGCGATTGCTTATAGTAGAAGAATATTCTTTTCCAAGTGGGCGATGACTGTAACCTTTGCCATTTTCAAACTCTGTGTAGCGTGACGAATAAACAACAACATTACGAAATTGGTGTAACCGAGTGACGGAGGCCTCACATTGCAGATTCTGTCACGAAATAAAACTAGTGTCGTCTCTCCCATCCTGAAGCCCAGCCACCTACACTGACCTTGATGAAGCCCAGCCTACTACACTGACCTTGATGAAGCCCACCCTACTACACTGACCTTGATGAAGCCTAGCCTACTACACTGACCTTGATGAAGCCCACCCTACTACACTGACCTTGATGAAGCCACCGGAATAACCCTCGTTGCTACATGATGAGTCCATCCTCGCTGTAGGGCCGGAAGTTGAGCGTGACGTTCATCGAACTTTGATCGCACGATGCCGTGAACCTTGATAAAGCTCATCCGGCGTCATGAACTGTCACGCGGAATGCTGTCTTGTCGCTACGAAGAACAACCGCAACCGCCAGCTATACACACACACACACACACACACACACACACACACACACACACACCACACACACACACACACACACACACACACACACACACACACACACACACACACACAACACACACACACACACACACACACACAGCACACACCACACACACACACACCACCACGCCACGTATATCACCCTGCCCAAGTGCGGACGTTGACATTCCAATACGTTCCAAGATTCAAGGTTGACGACGGTTATACAGCATGAGATGGGAATAAACGGATAAAGCACGGCACTTAAACGCCGCGTAAGTGCCGTGCAAAATGCATGAACAGCCACGGACTATAACACACCAAAATTAGCCAGCTAATTGACCGCAGTCCGCGTCTGCAACAATTACACGAATTCGCCACATACACGCATGACTCCACTACTAACCACGCCAACCTGCCTGTTAATCAATTACCTAATCTCGCCATCGTCCGGTGTTTACTTACATTCATAGCTACGCTGATTTCACCGCGAGCGTGGGCAGCCGGGGGATATCTGCCTAGGAAGATTATGTCGGGGACAGGCTCCCAAGAAGTGGGGGTTCACCCCTGCCACAGATGGGAAGAAAGCGCAAGTGATGCTCACCATCTTGCGGGCTAAAGTGAACATAGATGGCTTATGGGGATTGGGTAGGCATGCTTAAACATTACTTGGACTCAGCCTGGCAAGCCTCCGGAACAAAATCTCCGGGAAAGTGAAATTTTACCGCGTGGAAAACTCAAATTCCTACATTTCCCGTGCATACATAACATACAATTTGCTTTCTAATTAGCGGCTTCTCCATTGCGCTTTGCCACAACACAGTGTGTCGTCCGCTTTCTCTCATCTGTTATCCCATCCATAGCTGACACCCATTTCAGAACTCCCCCACATCGTCAGCGGGCGACCCTCAGGCCGACACGGGGCCGCCATCGCGTCGTGCGCCCGCCAATCCGTAACGCCGCGCTCTGTGGCGCGAGACACTCACCAGGACAGTTGAAGCTTCGACGGCTCGCTGAAGGTGGATGCGGGACTCTTGTCGCGCGGGCCTCGAGCACGCGTCGCCCATGAACACGATGCTCTCCAGGGCCAGCCGCGCGAAGTCGCGGCATCTTGATGCCCCGCCGATGAAGCTTGCACCCTGCGGTATTTAACTTACCTTTCAACCATTTGCCGAACAGCATCCGCAAAAGAACAAGGTCTCCCATAGCAGACCGCCGAAACCCGGCGACCACATACGGGTATTATATGTGACAGTTCGTGGGGCGCGAAGGTAGGTGTTGCCGAGCCTCATACGATTTGAAACCTGTGCATGTTTAAAGCGTGAACCCAGACGGAGCGGGGGAATACTTAGAGAAGCGTTGCCGAAAGCAGGTGGTGATCGAAGCTGCGAGCAGCGCAATTCGTGCGCGCAGGCCGCGGCAAGAGCGCACGCGACGCACTGGAACGTTTGCCTTTTACGACAGTATGGCCAGCGCTTGGCAGCTTATTGGATTCCGTTGCGCCAAATGCGTTTAGGACCCGGCGCTACGCATCCAGTTAGCTGCCAGCGAACAGCCACAATTGGAGTGCCGCTGGGATCATGGATCCGCAGCCACCAGTTGACCGCAGGCACTTGCGTAGCTGCGAGCAACACAGGGCTGTACACTGTTCGGCGTCATATAATAAACATTAATCGCTTACTGCCTTACGTTACCGTATGCGTAGCATACCAATCATTGAGTACTGAGCAGGCGAAATTCACAGGAGACAGCTTGGAAGCACGAAATTTTCGCATTTTCCGCAAGAGCACTGTGAGCCCAACCGAATGGGAAAATAGCGGGACTTTGTACAACAGAGAACAGATATAAGGCTAAAGTAAACCTGGGGACTCACTCCCACCTCCCCCGATAACTAAACACAGTAATTCGCGCAGGTGACTAAGCCCCAGCGAGGAAGCGTAACGGATTACGCCAACAAACCAACACGGGACAATTACCAGACATGGAAACTGAAACTAGAGACGCGCTGAGACGGCAGACGACTACGCGCACACCACTGGCGTCACACTATCAACAACAACGTACCAAGTAAGAAACCACTTACGCACGCCATGTATAGGACAACGTATGGCACAACAAGTCTGGAACTTTACCAAGTTAACAACAGTAAACAACGTAGTAACAACACTAGCTAATACGTACAAACTTGCGTCCGGGGCGCAACGATGGAGCGGGTTTCTACGAGAAACGCGCCGCGTAGGAAGGAGTTATCGGTTCCGTTCCTCAGTCTTCTGACAAGCCCATGTTCCATTTGAGTACTCTGGGACGACGAATGGGACTTCGCCCGAATCGCCACGCTCAGGTAGATGCGAGAAGTTTTCGGTCCAGTCTTTGTTGTGAGTCCGCTGCCACAGCTTCGCTAGGCGTGAGCTAACAGCAGACATATATTTAGGCTTGTATAATCAAGTGAACACTGTGGAGAGGGAGAGACACAAAGATGGGTGAAGGCCTGCGATGTGGTTACTGTTTCGTTTGGCTTGTTGTTTGAGAACTGGGGGTTCAAAAAGGAACCGTGCGTGCCACAGGTTCTGTCATCGGCAGCAGGCTCCCTGCCGCTGAGGAGTGGTCTCGGCCGCCGTGCCGGAAATCCCACGTCGTGCCTGCGCGAATCTTTCAAGGCACGCTTTTCAGTCGTGCATCGTAAATCTTATACGTATAATTAGTGTAGTTAACGCACGGCGATTTGTCACTGGTAACGCTGCTTGAATACTCAGCGAGGAGTGCACCCGGCTGTGTTGACCAACTTAAATGTCGACTCAGTCACGATCAGCGTCACTAGTTTAGCTGAACGGTTAGTAACAGTACATATTTTCGAACGTGAAATTTACAGGAAATACTGTATTCTATATATACTGAGTCACTAATCATATACTAATGGTACCACTAAGGTTATATGAAGTGAAGGTTTTGAGGCTCGGTTTTATTAACATGTAATCTTCAGCGAACAATGGAGATGATTCGGTTTAGGTAAATGATTTAGATGTCGTTTAGTTGAGTTATCGTATTTAGGCATTGTGTATATCTTATGTCCTTATTTTAAGTACGGGGCTAACGGATTAATCAATCATTAAATCAATGTTAACATTCAATGGTAATCATCATATAATGGATGAGTCAAGTTTTAGAACGTTATTCTTACTAATGAGGGCAATTAGCATCTTCACCCGGTAATGGAAAGCTTACAGGGGGTAGCCCTCGATTCGATTATGTGAGCTCTCCTCCGTAGTGCACGTAATCTACGGTGTAGATGGAACAATACGGCCCAAATAACGCGCGGCGTAAACTTGGCTTCAGGGGGTAGAATTACCGTAACCCGGCCAGAGGCCAGCAAGTAGGGGTTACCACTTAGCGGTCAATGGCTCACCACGTCAAGGTCGATGCACGGAAACGCTCATCGACGCACGAACGGGTGGTACACTATCGGACGGATTAGGGTCACTCAGACGAGGTCAGGCTAGAGCCTGGCGCGCTCCGGTTCGCGGACTGAAGCTGCAGGGTAGGTAGACCAAGATGTAGTGTCACTCTGAGGCACGAGAGTCCTCTGTCCCGCTACACGCGTCTATAACTGAGCGTAGTACGTCCTTACAGGCTAATTACCTGGCAATACTTGAGAGTTCGGTGCGTGACTAATAGGAATATTCGTTTACGGAAGCCGCCCAGCGTGATGCTGTCGTGCTCCGAGTGGATCGCGTACGCGCGCTCCGAGACTGGGCTCGTACCCCATACAATTCGCTCGCTCGGCATTGGCGGGATCGTATAGATAACTCAGTAAGCGATAGTCGCCGCTCACACCATGACTGTGCCAATACACGACGTCTGGCGCTCTTGGAACACTGCCTATCTTAAGACAAAACCCAAGCAAATCGAGCGCTTACTCGTCTTCTTCTAACTGTAGGTCGATCGCTCTCATTTCGTTTACGGGAGTCGGGAGCATTTCCGCGTGCATATTCAGCGCTAACCTGAATTCTTACGAACACTTACAGGTCAAGCTTCCCACTTGTTCACAGTTTATCCTAACTCTTCGTGCGGTACACCATATGTTCTGAAATCTTTAGTTTGCGATGGAGGACTCGGCGGGCTGCTTAACTATGACGAGCCTCGTCCCCAGATACAATAGCCCAGATAAGCAGTGACAATGAACACTAACGGTTAAAACTGCGCATTGTTAACTGTAACGAACCTGCTAAACCTGGTAAACTGGTAAACTAACTGTAAACCTGAAACTGTAAACGAATAGCCGAAAACATGTTGGTATTTGTTCCGCAGAACGCTACTAATTACTCGCGTAGCTTATCTAGAGACCTCAGTGTGACCTCACGCAGTGTCTCACGTCACGACTTGACTTGGCAGAGCGTCGACAGGCACATATATACTTGTAGCTAATGTGCACCAAAAATATCAAAGCGTCGGCTTTTGCCCTAACTGCTCAGAGATCCGCAGATTACAAGCCCAAGTTGACAAGCGCGCATCTCAAATACGTTATCTCTTAATCGTGCTTGTATGCGACCGCGATATTGCAACGGACGCAATAGAGCTGCTCTCAGTGCTACCAATGTGTTAGCATATGTGATATCTCATTCTGCCGCTGCCAATATCTCTGGAGGCCGAGAATCTGACTTCCCTCAACCACAACGAGCATTACTCGCTTATATCGAGCGGCACCAACCAGCATGATACCGGTGTGCACATGTAATTTGCGACGCGACATAGACACGCCAAGCGACGTTAATAGGTATCGAAAGCGCCGTGCTCGACACACGATGGGGAGCAAACCGCTGGGGCATCGCTTGATGTTCGTGGTCTGTGGTGCGCAGCCGCTTTCGCGCGGCATATCCGGGCCTGCTGCCAGATCGCTACCAGTCAATAGCGCTGAGGCATTCTTTCAAATCTTCAAATTATAGGCCATCTTTAAACCATGCATTTGGCACATAGAGTTCAAGGATGGAGAGCAACCTGGCATTATTTTGGGACATATCCATGACTAAAGCATTTTGTTTTGCAGGCGGGGCCGATTCGTCACCGTGACGACCTCAGCCGCCATCTGCCTGCTGACCAGCGCTAGGCGCGTGCGCTCGTCCTGCCGGTGATTGCTGCGTTGCCGGGCTGGCATCGCTGAACACGTGAAGTGTCATTCCACTTTGCCTCGTGCCCTTCTCATCACTGCGTACAGGTGAGCGACGTCGTGCATGTTCACCACGCTGGGCATGCAGATTTTAATCTATGTGTATTGGGGCGCGGGTTGGGGTGTTTTTGATTCCTGTTGTCTGACTGAATTACATTCGATTTCAATTCCAGACGTTTCAGTTCTGGGTATTCACTCTGTGGTAGCCGTCTTGCTTTGCCAAATTGAATTTTTGACATATTGACATTTTGCAGTCACACGTTGATGTTTTTGCGAAAAGCGTCGTCAATACCAGTCAACCAATACACTCATTTCATTCATATTCAATCTTAGATCTTCACGCTATTGGCGAGCATTAAAACTTACTTCTGTTGACTGGTTTAAATAATGTGGTTCAAACATAGCGTTTTGTGATCGCTGTGGTGGCTGTGCGAATTCCCGAAACAAAGATACATTGAGTCTGCGGACGCCACTAGAAATTCTCGTTTTGTCATTCTGGCATGGAACATCAGTGTCAACTATTGTTCGTTTATTATTTTACCCCGTCAAAGCGATCTCGAAGAACGATAGAGTTAACGCTCCAGAGCCTGGTTGAGGTATTCAGGATTTCAACATCACCAGTCGTCTGCAAAATGGCCGATAGCGTTATTGCGTTGGCGCGGATGGTTTTCCCAATGTGGTGACGCCGGTCAAGTTCTCGAAGTTCAAGAAGGGAAGACATTAGCAAATCCCTCACGTATCAGCATGGGCGCAAATTCAGCTTTGGACCGACAAGACTATGCGGTCTTCAAATCACCAATACGAATCTTATAACGTCTTTCATACACTAAATATTCTCAGACACTAATAAACCTACTAGTTTTGAGGCCTAATGCGTGTCCATTGATACGAGTTTCCTATTTTTGAGGTCATGTGACAGCGTATGTCTTTGACTGACTACAATTACATCATTTTTGTAATTCTTTAGTATGGTTTGCGCTTACGAGCGTGAGTGGCTTGACTGTGTAGGGTGTGCCCCGAAGCTTCAAAGAATTTCATCAAAGAAAAGGTACTGCAACATTTCATATAGTCATAATATGTGTAACCTGTTGATGTTCTATAAATAAACATTTGCAAAATTAATGTACGTTATATGCAATCTCTCTTTGGAGTTTCGGTTACGTATTTAAGGTGACACATGCGTACGTACGATCGTTTAACATACCTACGATTATATTGTTACGTCTCATAGCGCTCTAACATTCAATGCCAAACGCGCTGACTAAGTGAAGATAAAACAAATAAACATCTTCACCGTTATGTTAGATTTGCTATCCATTAATCGGGACTACACGTAATGCTAAAACATACACATTATATGTTATATGTTACATGTAATGGTACCATGCACTAATGGAAAAACATACACAGCATATGCTTATATGTTTACATAATGTCACATATCACTAAGTTAAAACCATACACATTATATTTATAATGTACATTAATGGTACATGCACTAAGGGAAAACATACACATTGATATGTTTTATGTTACATTAATGGTACGATGCGCTAATGCTAAACATACACATTGGATAATGTCTTAACAGGCTTCACAGTAATGGTACATGTTGCCCTAAGTAAACAACACATTATATGTTATATGTTACATAATGCGTACATGCGCTAATGTAAAACCATACACATTATATTTATATGTTAGCATTAATGGTACATCGCTAATGTAAAACATACTACATAATATTGTGACATGCTTACATTAAATCGGTACATGCTGCGCTAATGTAAAACATACACATTATAGGTTATAGGTTACATTAATGTACATAGCACTTAATGCTAAAACATACAACATGGATATGGATATGTACAGAATGCTACATGTTGCCTATGTAAAAACATCACACATTATATGGCTATATGTTACATTTAGATGGTACATTGAATGTACTAATGGTAAAACATACACATTATATGTTATATGGTTTACATTAGATGGTACATGCGCTAACTGTTAAAACATACACCATTTAGATGTTTATATTTAGTGCGACTAAGCTGTAACACGCTGCCATTTACAAACACGTCAAAACCGATGGGCAAATAAAAACCATCGACCGATATAGGCTTATTTTTATGTTATTACCATGAAATGCGTCGGATCGTGACTCATATCGAAGCAACGGCGCAGCCGATTAAAATTAATATCGCGTACGGTGAGCGTTTATCTCGATTCCAATTCGCCTGATTAGAAGCAGGCCAACTCGCTCAGCACACGCCTAATGTAAAACATACAGCCAGTTTGTATCTATGTGTACACCTATGGTTTAACAATATTCATTATCACACTCTACAGTAGATGCGACAGGCGCCTAATGTAAAACATACGACATTATATGCTTATATGTACATTAATTGTACACAATGCACTAAATGGTCAAAAACATACACAAGTTATATGTTGTTGCCAACAATAGCGAAAATTTCTTATTCTACGCCTATGACGCATAAGGATCGTTGCCAATAATGTATGTATAATATAAACTTATGTATCAAATGGACCAGAATACATTACGAAAACGCGCTTCCGGAGAGATCATGAGCAGACCTTACTACTGTTGTAATAATATATGAGCTGATCATAATATGTATTAAGAATGATTAAACTAATAAGGTGCTGTAACTAGTCTGGATCTACCGTAAACGTTATAGAATGCGATATATGTTCAGCGTCGTGGCTATAACTGATTTGCCGTGAATTGGACTGCTCAAACGTATGAGGTGTCAACCGCGCATCTCAAAACGATCTGTTCGCATGTCCGTGTCGGTTCGTGCAAAACAATTTAGATCGCTCTGTGCCGCGCGAGCCAAGCTGGCATAGACAGGCAGAGACAGACTAGCACACTTCACTGGTATGCTCAAGGTGTGACACCACAGCTGTCGACACTAATCAGTTCTTATACCTAGCACTGCCATGAACGCTTCTGTTATGATTCAGGTGAGATATCCAGAAAATAACAAAAAACTCGCTAATTTTTATGCACATGATTTTCAATGCTCGTGACATCAATTATGTGAACAAATCGCCAATCAATTACAGTAACGTATATACAAAAACACCGCAATAAAACGCTAAAAGCTATGCACGCAGTTTGTTGCCCAGTGTAAGCCTATGTGTGCTGTGCGCGCGGGTGCTATGGGTGTGTGGCTCGCGCGCGATGTGATGCTAATCGACGGACATCACGCGGATGATGCGAACAACGACATCACGACTGGTGCGGGTGTATAGTGGGTGTAACCGGAACGACCATCACGGAATGAAACAACGACAATCACGCATGAACAAACGATCATCCACGGGATGAACAACGACGATCACGGATGAACAAACGACATCACGGCATATGAACAAACGACATTCACGGAAGTATGAACAACGACATCACGGCCTAAAATGAACAACGATCATCACGGTGGATGTGGACGCGCCCGTGATGATGTACTATGGTACGACCTAGTGCACGCGCGCCGACGTGGTGTATCTCGTGTTGCGCGGCGTCGCGTGTGCATCCGTGTGACTCGCGCGAGTATGAGAGTTGTGCGTAAGCACCAGCCGCACCATTTAGCATGATGAACCACTAGCATGCATACTGCCAATCACTAGTGTTTAATTTTGCTCATTACATGGAGTCACATACAACCTCACGCAAAAACCAGATGCGTCCAGGTCAAAAGAACCCCTAGTCAGCCATACAGGGCTGACATAACCAAAACATTAGAAACGTTGGGAACCAAACTCCCACCGACAGATGGCGCTCTCGCTCATGGCTCCAATCTAACATGGTATCCTGAGTGAGAGAAGGGCACTGCATGCAGTTTACGTTGGGAGAAGACCATGAGAAGGAGTTGCGACTGGATGTCCAGCGGCAATGCCGCGGGAGAAGGATGCTCCAGTGCGTTGGAACCGTCATCCATACTTAGTTACTTCCTGTTCAGTGAGGCAGAGTCTGAATTCCTGTTTCACGTCGGAGCGCCGCCTCAGACAACGACATCCAGCGAATTGTGGCTCGACAACACTCCTACGGACAAAGAAATCTTTCTCGTAAAACATACTAATGCGCAACATGCACAAATTTCAACGACCAATCAATAAACGGCTCTTTCTGTATTAGGTATTCCACATCGCTTTAGTAGGAATAGTTTATTGTAGCTACGCGTATCTTGACGTTAGACATATTATAACAGATGCAAGGCCGTACGCAAGCGGGAGTGAGTAAACGCCCGCAGTTGCCTCCCAAGCATGCTTAACAACGACATCTACGGGGCAACGCTGCGAAACTGCCCACGATTCAACTGTTCCAGAACACAAACGGCTTTCATTACCTTTTCTGGCAACATGAGTTAGCTACCGCCCCTGAGGATGGTTTTATGCTGGCCTCTACCTTCATTGCCTGTGCCTCTCGACCATTCATATGCCACGCCGAGTTTTCCCTTCATGCGGCTCCTGCAGTGACCCACACGCGTATTATTCGGACGCCTGGGAGCTAAACATATTAAATGGATCAGCTAGCATCGTTAAAAATCCCTGTTAGGAAGCCATTCCGGCATATATAAATACGCCTGCCAGGGCGCTATTTATTTGCTTCTCACGCACCTCTATACAATACTAACATATAGTAATTAAATAATATTAGTAATATTTAATAAATTGATACTGCCATAAAATAAATTCTTATCTATATCTATATTTTCTAGATCAATCTATATTGCCGAATAACATCTATGTGATGTGATACTTCAAGCAAAGGCACTAAGTAAATACAAACTGAAAATCTTATATTTGTGTTATTAGCTATTGCAA